ACTTAATGTTAAGGTTGTTTCAATGGTTCATTGGTCAATCCATTTTTCTGAGTTAATTTTGATTCTCACACTAATTCAAAGTTCATGAAGATGAAGGAGATGATGATCAAGGAGAATTAGCTCTCTCTCTCTCTCTCTCTCTCTCTCTCTCTCTTCTCGGTTTTTTCATTGATAATTTTTCACCGGGTGGAACAGGAAAAATATTAGACAAAGAATCAATGGAGAGAATAGAATATCAGAAAAAAGAATAATTTTTTTTGGAAAAATATTACGTCTGCATAAAAATAGGTTCACTGATTTTGGGAACAATTAAGATGATGATGATTGTGATGGAGGTGAATTTCATTCTGATGACTGATTATTAAGAGATTGATGAGAGAGTTTGATTATGAAATACTTTGTTCTGGAGGAATGAGAAAGATATTCATGAGTAAATAAGTTAATTCGTAAAGTTTTTTTTTTCTATTATTCTCCATCTTGGTGATTAAACTGAGTATCAGCATTGGAATCATCTGTTTACAGGGGGGAATTTACATTTTCCTCATCAGATTCCAAAGAATAACCATCATGATAGTGACAGTAAGATGAGCCAAAAAGTCCTGGAATAGAATCAGGGAGAGAGAAAAAGAGAGCTAATCAAATAAGAGATTAGTGGAAGATCAGGATTTCATGTCATTCTGATGAGTGAAAAGCTGAGTAAGATGTTTGAAATGATCTTTGATGACGAAAACCACTAAAATCAGAACAAATTAGTGGTCAAGCAAAAAAAAATTGGTGATGATGGTCAAGATGAATTAGGAACGTGAAAATTTTTCTCTTACATTTGATGATATATAATTTCTAAGGGAGAGATAGAGTGAGAGAGAGAGAGAGAGAGAGATGACAATCCCATGTAAATAATAAGGAGCATCAAGATGATAGGAGACAAAAGTTATATGAAAATGAGAATCATTTTAATGTATAAATGATTATTTGATTAAAGTGATTTCTTTCCTATTGATTGTTTATTGATTGTTATTGGTGATGGTGGTTGTTTATGTCAAATTAAAAGACAACAACAGCAATCAAAGTGTTATCATCATCATCATCATCATCATCATCTTTCAAATGATAATCTTACAAAGAGATTTGGAAAGTAACTGTAATATGAAAAAGTAAAGTATCAGGATGAAGATGAAGATGAGGATGAGGATGAGAAACAAAAATTATCCTCAAATTATATTAACCACTGGACACAAATTAAATTGCTTCTGAAATCAGGGTGACAAGGGATTGATGTTGTTGGTCATTCTGATTTCTTAATGATAATGATTGTGATGATAACTGGACAATCAGATGAAAATCAAATGGTAAAATCATTTAATCTAATTCAGTTCAACAGATTAATGATCAAATAACAACAACAACAAATGAGGAAAACAATTTAATCCCTTTAATCAACATAACTCATTACTCATTTACACACCAATCAATTATTTAAATTAACAGACAAACAATCAAATTAAACACAAAGTAAATTACAATCAATTTAATGAAAAAAAAATCTACAAATTAAATTAACGATTGATTTAATCATATAGAGATGGATGTATGTAACACTAAAATGGTAACAATTAAATTAGTTGTAATAACAATTAACTGACTCAGTTAATCCAATTAAAGTTGATTTTCTAATTGATTAATTTTATTGATTAATTTGATCCAATTAAAAGTGTGAAAAACAAACCATCAGAATCACCAAACTAATTTAGATTGTGAAACCTTAATAATAATCACAATTAACTAACTAACTAACTTTTTTTTTTCATCAACCAGCAAAACCAGATTGTTGATTGTTGATGGTTGATTAAACCAGCGTTAAGCTTTAATCAACAAACAATTATTACGATTCACGATTTTTTATATGAAGATTTAAGAAAAACTAGGAGCCGTACAGGCATGGAAAAAATATCAACAGAAAGAAGACAAAAATCTTCAACAACAAAAAATAGAACCAATGTCATAGGTGTTCAGGGTCAAAAGTTATTAATTAATGAAAAAAACGGGGCGTTAAATTGACCAAATTAAAATGTTAATTAGATTAATAAGAGGATTAGACAGAAAAGAAAGAGAAAAGGGGGAGAGAGAGAAGGGATGAATTATGACGTTCGGGGCAATGAAAGGGGAAGAGAAAAGAAAGAGCATCAGATGAATGTAACTTTTTTAATTGTATCAATCGCACGCCCTGGGATATTAAAACTTTGAGAGGTTAATCAAAGATACGATTAACCACTCTGTTTAAATTAAGGTTGACAAAATTTTAAATAAAAAAGACAGAAAAGATGACATTCATGAATCAATCTCCTAAAATTATTAAGAAAAGCGATCATGTTGATCGCTTGGTTTTCCTTGTCACAATTAAGCAACAACATAAAAAAAAATGTCAACTTGACAATTAAAAGGTTTCAAAGCTCATTATCAACAATATCTAAATCATCATCTACAATATCATCGTCATCATCATCATCATTGTCTAAATCCAATGTCAGTTAATCACAACAACAATTTAACAACTAAATTAAGTTTTGATAATCATCATCTACAATATCATCGTCATCATCATCATCATTGTCTAAATCCAATGTCAGTTAATCACAACAACAATTTAACAACTAAATTAAGTTTTGATATTAACTTTTCCTTAAATTGTTAACCATTTTTTAGTTTATATTTTGGTTCCACATCATCTCAATCCCTTTGGGCTTAATTGTCAACAATTTAATTGTCTACCAAATTACCTGAACCGAATTAAATTACCTTAACAATCAAAGTTTGTATTTAACTAACTAACTTGATTGGTTAAATTAATACTTTGTCAATATTAATCTTAATCCAAAAGTGATTAAAGAAAATGAGAAAAAAAAATTATTATTAAAGATGAAGATGAAAAAATTGATTTTGATCAGAAAAATTTTTCTCCAACTCAATTATTATTTTTTATTTCTTTCATTACAACAATTAATTGTTATTACAATTTAATATAATATATATATTTTATATCACCACCGCAATTAACAATCATAGCAAAAGTTAATGATGCTTTAAGGTAGTAATCAGTTGAGATGATTGTAATTACAATTGTGAATGTAAGTGTGTAACAATTAAGCTCATTCATCATCAGGAAAATGAATCAACAATCAGAACAAAAAACAATCATAATCAACAAGAACAACTTTTTTAATGATAAATTTAATTGTTCAACTTTTCATATTATTATTATTAAATATATATAGATGTTGATTGTTTATAATGATGCTTTAAGGTAGTAATCAGTTGAGATGATTGTAATTACAATTGTGAATGTAAGTGTGTAACAATTAAGCTCATTCATCATCAGGAAAAAATGAATCAATCAGAACAAAAAACAATCATAATCAACAAGAACAACTTTTTTAATGATAAATTTAATTGTTCAACTTTTCATATTATTATTATTAAATATATATAGATGTTGATTGTTTAATTGTGAACAACTACAGCTTAGCAATTAACCTTAATTGTTAACAGTGTATGGAGTATATATATGTGTGTATGTGTATTATAATCCAAGGATAATTAACTCTTTTAATTGTCACACATTTAAAGTAAATTAGTTGATAATGATTGTAATTAAAGTTGTGGTGATTAATGAATTTAATTTTGTTAATGATTAGTTAATTGTTATTCATCATCATGTTGATCATTTGATACTTTTTCTAACCAGTTAATTGCTTATATACTTTTACATTGTATATATAGAGAGTTTAAATTGTTAATTGAAACAATTTCAAAAGGATAATCATTAAAATTGATTCTTAATTCATGATTATAATTGTGATGATGATGATGATGATGATTGCAATTGAATTAAGTAAATTGTTAACAACAATCAATTTTTAGTTTTTCTACCTTTTCATTTTTTATTTTGCCAAATTGTGATTGTTTGATTTTAATTTTGTTTCATTGATGATAATCATTTAAATTGAATTTAATATTTTCTTACCCATGAAGAAATCAAAGTTAATTGTTAATCACGATTTATAAATATATATTTAAAGGTAAATATAATGATTACCATGATATTTATTGAGATGATGAAACAAAGGATGATGATGATCAATTGAAGGTGGAGATGATGATAAATATCATCATGAATACTTACCCTTGAAGGTATTGCACGAGAGAGAGAAAGAGAGAGAGAGAGAGTGAGTGAGTAAGTTCAGGTTTCTGAACGATAATCATCATGACAAAGAAAATGGCGAAAAAAGTTATCATTGGAGAAAAGTGAAATCATGAGAAGATGAAATAAAATAATGAACAGAAAAAAAGTTCATCATCATGAAATAATCTGCCTTTGATTGTTTACTATTTTAATTCAATCTCTCTCTCTCTCTCAGTTGACAGAACTTTTTTCTTGCTCTTCATGATAGAAACAAAGAAAAGATCGGATAAAAAAATCATTGAGTTAGTCTGAAGAGACTCACTCAGATTCATGATCCATATTTTCACCGAAAACAAAATATAAAAAAAAATCTCGCTCACAATGATTAACCTAAATCACGAAGAGGCAAATTTAATTATGAAATAAATTATTAAATTGTTATATTAATGTTTGTATAATGTAGTTGAAGTTTAATTTAGTTATTAATTTGTTTGGTAATGATAATACAGTAATTTAAATAACATAGGAATCATGGTTGACCAAAAATGAAAGGTTTTTGGGTTTGTATTTGTTTGTTGATTTTTTGTTTATGAGAAAAAAGAGAGAGAGAGAGAGAGAAAGGGAAAATGATGATGAGGATGAGGATGAAGATGAAGATGAAAATGAAGATGATGATGAGAGGGGGAAAGTGTTCTCAATGCAATATTATATTATATGTATAATGGATAAAGAGGGAAAGTGCAATGAAGACAAAATTGGAATGGCTTTTGTATGTAGTATGTGTGTGTATGTGTTTATCATCATAATCATCATTTTGTCATCATCTTACCCGCCTGACTCGGAGGCATCAGGCTTGGAAAGGTCCAAGGGAACGTCACCGCTTAAACCTAAAGCGGCTTTAATGTTTACTGATAAATCGGCTGGACTGGTCGGTGCTGCTCCGCTGTTTGATCCGGTAAAGTCTTTAAATTGACCTGAGTTTACCTGTTCCATATACTTTTGTAGGGAAAAGAGTTGCTGTTGATACATTTCCGGGGTCAATGCCGATTTAGAGAGTCCATCCGATGTGTCCTCATTAGGATCGCCATCGGGTAGCTCGTCAATATTGATATCACCTTTGGTGTATTGGTCTGCATGTTTGGTGGCTAAATGGGCTTCCAAAGCGGTTCGAGCTTTGAACAGCGCTCGGCAAAATGGGCACTTCTTGTTTATCGCCTGTAAATGGGCACGAAACTGGCCCTTTCTTTCACGTGCTCGAGTATTTTGAAACCAGACTTGAACAACGCGCTTTTTAAGGCCAATCTCTTTTGCAATGTTTTCCAACATTTTCCTTGACGGGTTTGACTCAGTTTCGTATTTTTGATACAAATAGTCAAGTTGTTCGGGTAAGATTGTTGTTCGAAGTCGTTTATCTCGTTGTTGTTGCTCTGTAAGTTGGCTTGTTGTTGCACTTGTCGATGCACCGGAAACACTTCCACCTCCACCCGCACATGAGGTTGAATCAGAAGTATCCTCATCTTCGGGCAGGTCATTTTCACGTTTCCTTTTGGTGGAAACATTGTTAACCGATGAAGATGATGTTGATGATGAATTTAATCCGGTTAATGAGTTAACAAATTGCTGCTGTTGTTGTTGTAAACGTTGAACTGCTGCTGCAGCCTCGGCGTTACCTGATGCTGCAGCGGCGGCCGCGGCAGCAGCAGCTGCTGCTGTCATACTACCCGGTGGGCATCCTTCATATTGAAGTATACCAAAAGGTGAGGTGGGTGGATAAGGTGGGAATAACGATGGATGCATCAAATGGACCAATTGATGTTCCTGGCAAAGGTCATATCGAGCGAAAACAAGTCCACATTTTTCACAACGAAATGCACCATTAGACGATGAAGATGCACCCGCTGAGGGTGAAGATGATGGTGGACGAGATGGATTATCTTCTGAGGGAGTTGGTGATGGTGCTAAATCTCGTGAGGAAAGATGATGATGAGATGAAGAGGAAGTTGTTAAATTAGTTGCAACATGAGACGAAGGTGATAAAGATAATCGTTGTTGTTGTTGTTGTTGTTGCTGTTGGTGGAGTTGTTGTTGTTGACCAGAGATTGATGAAGATGTTGAAGATGATGAGGATGCTGATGATGATCCACCATCACCTTTAGTTGACTTAGGTTCAGGTAATAGGGAAGATAAATTATCTTTACTATTATTAAGTCCTGATGTTGGTGTTAACATTGACGCTGAGATTATTGATGATGAAGGTGGTAAACTTATATCGGACATGATTAAATCTTTAGCCGATGATGGTGGTGCTGGTGTTGAGGCGGCTGATGAGATACTCGCTGCACCCGGTGAGGTGGCTGATGCTGCTCGAGCCTCTTGAGCTGCTTTAATTTGACTAATTTGAGCAGCCAACGGATTCTCATCTTTAAAACAAGCCGATTTTGAGTGTTTAATCAGATCATAATATCGTTGAAATACTTGGCAACACTTTTTACACTGATAAGTTAATCCCGCCGTTTTGGACAGTTTACCTTGAGAGGAATCATCATCCGTCATTGAGGTTGGCTGATTCTCGTAAACTTTACGAGCCTTTTGCCGAGCATTTTGAAACCAGACAACAATAACTCGAGGTGAAAGGTTAAGTAACTTTGAAAGGTATTCAAGATCATCGTCTTTAGGATATGCATTGGATTCAAAAAATTCTTGTAAAACTTTTATCTGATAATCGGTGAAACGAGTTCGATTTGCCCGTTTACCTGGTGTTGTACCTGAAGAAGGTCCAGAGGAAGATGAATCATCCCTACAACCACCGCCACCATTACCTCCTCCTCCACCACCACCTCTACCAGTTGATCCACCTGAGGGTGTTGGTGGTGAGGTGATTGATAAACCAGCGGCAACCGCTGCTCGGTGGGAAGCTGCATCTAAAGCCATTTGTAATGGATTAGATGAAGATGATAAATGTGACGGTAAACCGGAAGTACCAGTGAGACTAGAAAGTCCAGCGAAAAGGGTTTGAGGAGGTTGACCACTTTGCTGGGAACAGGTATCATTGGTTGATATTGATGACATTGATGATTCAGAGTGTGGTGACATTGTATACGATTTGGCATAATCAAATGATTCATATCTAGAACCGGAAGTACCTCCTTTCATTGATGAGCCAGAATTTAATTGCTGATTAGTTGATTGCTGATGTAAACCTGTTGATGTAATTGTTGTGGTTGTTGTTGGTGTTGATGATGTACCTGGATGATTAGTTAAACTAAAGGTCATCGAGGTATCAGGAGTCGAGGTTGAATCACGATTACGACGAATGTCCAATCTTAAATTATCATCTTTACGTCCAGTTGAACGTCCATCTGCCCCACCGCCGATACCATCATCATCGGATGAGGTAAAATCGTATTCAGATTTATTGATTGACATTAATTTAACATCACTCACTGAAAGGTTTAAAGTTGCCGTTCCTGAGGTTGTATTGGGTGTTAATGAGCTCGACGAAAGGTTCAATGACGATTGACCACCGGCGGGTGTTATTAGTGCCGATGATAAATTGGAGACAATGTTTACATTTTACTCCGCCGATACCATCATCATCGGATGAGGTAAAATCGTATTCAGATTTATTGATTGACATTAATTTAACATCACTCACTGAAAGGTTTAAAGTTGCCGTTCCTGAGGTTGTATTGGGTGTTAATGAGCTCGACGAAAGGTTCAATGACGATTGACCACCGGCGGGTGTTATTAGTGCCGATGATAAATTGAGAAAAAGGTCGAAGGTGGATTGTTAAAGTTATATGGTGAGTCTTTGTTTCGTTGTCGCTCCTTGAATAAAGTGTTTCGAAACCAGTGTTTGATCACTTTGACCGGAAGTCCAGATTTTTCGGACATCTCTTTGTGAGCCTCTTCGGAGGGTGAATTGTTTATGTCAAAATGTTGTCGTAAAACTTTTAATTGGTCATCAGTTATTCGGGTTCGAGCTCTTTTCGGCTGTTGAGCTGCTGCTTGGGCTTGTTGTTGTTGCTGTGCAGCAGCGGCTGCGGCAGCGGCTGCAGCGGACAATTGTTGCTGTTGTTGAGCAATAAGTTTCTGTTGAGCAGCGGCAAAGAAATTAGCCTCAGCTCCTGCGGCAGCTGAAGAGGCTGATGATCCACCACTACCACCGGCAGCAGCAGCAGCAGCAGCCGCTTGATTACCTGAAGCCTGAGCAGCTTGATGATTAAATGCTGCAGCCAAAACTGGATCCAAATGAGGTGCCATCATCAAGGGTATCATTGGCGGTGGTAAACCCATCGCAGCCGCAGCGGCAAAGTTTACATTCATACCTGGTATATTCATAGGCATTCCCATACCAGCTAAGCCCATTGACATTAACAATTGACTAAACTGTATTTGAGCGGCCATTTGAGCTGACATTTCAGCTTGAGATCCATTGACACCAGGACCAGAATTACCACTGGAATTATTATTATTATTATTATTATTATTGTTATTATTATTACCACCATTGGCACCAGAAGATGATCCAGTTGATCTTGATGACCCATTGGCACCGGAAGATGTTGTATTAGCCGTTGAAGCAGCGGTGATTGACATTGAAGTAGCCGTGTGACTTGATGATTTATCACTATTCTTATTACCACCACTACCTCCAGACCCACTGCCCGAACCACGGGAATAATGATGACCTCCCGAAGAGGTTAAATTATGTCCACCTGATGTTAAATGATTGGTAACAAAATTAGCCGGTGTAATTGTGACACTAGTTGAATCTGCACCACTGGCTGATGAGGTTAATCCTTTAGCACCGTTGGCACTGAGGACATCATTTACAAACGAGTCAACATTGGTACTATTTATTGGTGTAACGGTTGTGGTTGGTGTTGAGGATGAAACAAGAACCGAAGATGTTACACCGCCGGTGGAAGATATTGATGAGCCACCAGCACCGATGATCGATGATGATGATGAAGATGATTGTTGTTGTTGTTGTTGTTGTGGCACAATTGATGAGGTTGAAGAGACGACAGAAGATAAATACTGATGAGCGTGATGATGGTGCGAGGAAATGTGATGATGTCGACGATCATAATCTTTACGATATTCGTCGGCGAAACTTTCAACATACGAAATAGGTACAAGGGAGGAATGAACTTCTTCCCGGTGGGCTTTTAGTACCCAAATTGATGAGAACTCTTTATTACAGAAATCACATTTTGATCGATTAATTTCCGGTAAATTTGCAGAATTTAAATTACCCGAAATATCAGAATTATTATTGATAGAATTTAATTCTTTACCTTTTTCACCTGACAAACAATTTTTATCTTTACTCTCATCTGGTTTATCTTCATCTTGTTTATCCTCTTTGGGAATTTTTCTCCTCCGCTGGTGATTCTCATTGAATTGCATGACAATTTCAAATCCCCAGGTTTCAAGAAGATTCTTATAACCCGGCGGCTTAGATTTAACCACTGGTGCATTATAATATTTGGTCGGCTGATGGTTAATCATATTGGAAGATGATGATGAACCGGATGTTGTTGATGATGATGCAGCTCGTATGGCAGCGGCTAATTGTTCTTGAGCAGATTGTGCTTGTTGTTGTTGTGCTTGTGCAGCTTGTTGGGCAAGAGCTGAAGCAGCGGCGACAACTTGTTGCTGGAAAGTTTGTCCATCTTTACCTGTGATTGATTTTAACCCTCGGGGTCCAAATAATGAGCAAATCTGTTGATGTTGAAGGTAAGATTCATGAGAGGTCACAATGGTACCACAGCGATTACATGAGAATAACCCACTGCCACCACCACCACCACCACCGGCGGTGATTGAACCATTATTATTACTGTTATTTCCTGATTGAGTTGAATTTACATTGCAATTATTTTCACCTGATGAAGCGGCTACAGCGGCTGCAGCAGCAGCAGCCATTGCAGCGGGATTGGTAAGTAAAAGTTGACCGCCAGTGGCTAAATTAATAGCCATTGCTTGTTGTAATGAGTTTGCTTGGGATTCTGTAAGGTCAGTTAATTTACCACCTTGACCAGAACCACAATTATTATTATTGAGTGAGAAAAGGTCACCATTTTTGGATAAAGATATCGAGGTGACACTTACATCACCTGAGGTTAATTCGGGCCGTTCAATTAAAGGTATCGTTGGATCAATTTGACCTGAAAGGGTCAACTCTTTTATTTTGGTAGCACGGGTTTGATGTAATACTGATCTTATATGAATATCAAGAGCGGGTCCATTGTTGTAGGCCACTTTACATATATTGCATCGGTAAGGTTTCTTATCGTTTAAATCTGATGATGAAATTAATTGATGATGAATTGATGGTGAACCGGAAATAACGGGTAACACAGTAGTTGAACAATTGGGTTGAGCAGAAGAGGAAGTTGTTGTTGTTGTTGTTGTTGGTGTCGATGATGATGATGATGATAAATGACTCGCAATGGTGGTAACAATACAATTTGCATTAGAAGATGATATTGTGGATGAGAGCGGGGGAGAGGAAGATGTAACATTAGATCCAATTAAATCATTGGCACAATTTAAAGTGGCTTCTTTTGAAGTCGATGGCTTGCCGGATGTACCACGATCACCGCCGGTTAGAGCGGCAATGGCAGCGGCTTCTTTAGCTTTAGCTGCTCGATGTATATGGGAAACTGAATTATTGTGAACTTGTAATATTGTTTTCTGTGTAAACGATTCCTTACAAAGGTCACATTTATGTGGTCGATTAGGGTCAAGATATTTTTCCATTGGATAACTTAACTTTTCACCTTTACGATGAAGAAGCGTTTTATTGTGAGCCGTTAGGTAAGATTGCCGGGTAAAGGCCACTTTACACCGGTGACATTTGTACTTTCGAGTTGGATCATTGTAACCATCTTCAGCAGCCGTTTGTGAGTTAAGCTGATCTTCAAGGGTTAACCTTTCAGTTGAAGGTGATTTATAATCAATTTCATTCATCATCTCATCATCAAGACAATCATTCATACCACCGGTTAGATTATTATTGCTATAAGTTGCCGATGAATTTAAACCACCACCGCCAACGACAAGGTCCATAGCTTCATCACCCTCCATGGGAACATCACTATTATTATCCATCATCATTGACATCATCATCATATTATTTTCAACACTTTCATCATCTTCAACATTTGAAGATGAACCACCGGCTAAGGTGTTACTATTATTTCGAGCTGATTCTTTCTTTAAAAGTTCAGTTGTCGCCGGGTCAAGTATTCCACCTCCATTACGGCCAACCGTTAATAACATTGGATTATTAGCTAAACTTTGCCGATAAACATCAAGCTCTTCCTCTGACATATTTGGATGTGTTGTCTCAACGTGTTTACGAAGCGATTCAACTGAACGGAAAGATCGACGGCAAAGGCAACATTGGGTCGCCGCTCGTACATAATGATACTGTTTATGTAATTGAAGTTTCTCATTGGTTTTAAATGCAAGTGAACACTGAGTGCACCTAAATTTGTACACATGACGATCGGAAACCGCTGAAGAAGATGATTGAGAATCGGTTGATTTTGAACGAATCGTTTTCATTGGAGAAACGGAAATAGATGATGAAGAGGAACCAATACCATGTGAAGTAGTTGACATATTAACTATGCAATTATTTAAAGCTGATGATGATGATGATGTTGTTGGAATTGTTGATGATAAATTAACACAATCATCAATTAAACGAGATCCATCAATTGAGTCATCCATTGATCCACAATCTGAGCGTCCATCACCATTATCAGGATACCCAAGGGATGAATTATCATCATCACCTCCATTGTGGTGACTTGAAAAGTTATTAGAATTACTATTAATAGGAACATTAAATTCATCTTTAACAGATGATAAAATTTTCTCTGAACTTGAAATTGTATCAGAAGATGTTGTGGTCACTAGGAACATTAAACGGTCAACCGCTTCCTTGGTAACATTGTGAATGTCCATTAGGTGAGATTCAAGGCCTTTCCTTGTATCTGAAGGTGATTGACAAAGTGGACACAAGATTACAAGGGTTGACAAAGATGAGGTTGAACCTGAAGATGATGATAGGGAAGAGGGTGAAGTTGTTGTTGAATTTGCATTAGCATTTGAAGCCGAAACACCACCAGCAGCGGCAGCGGCAACGGCAGCGTTAACAAGTGACATTTGTTGATTGGGTGAAAATTTTGCCCGTTTAGGTGATGAGGGTGATGAAGATGAAGATAAATTAACTGAGCTTGATGATATTGGTGTTGTAATCAGGGTTGTATTTGGACCAACCATTAATCCACCTTTACTATTAATATTATTACAACTTTTACTATTACTACTATTACTATTATTGTTACCACCGCTATTGAATGAAATTGAATGAGCATTAATTAAATGAATTGACAATTTAACTTCCGAGTTTGTTGTAAAATTACACTGTGGACATTGATGATTATTTGAATTACTATTAACACCGGTGGCAGTTGTTGTTGTAATGGCGGTTGAAGATGATGATGGTGAGCCCATTGAGGCTACAGCAGCGGCGGCCAATTGCTGTTGTAAGATGTGCTGTTGTTCAAGCATCAGTGCTTGTTTTAACATTGATTCACTTGCAGAGGATAATCCAGTTAATCCAGTTAATCCAAGTCCAGAAAATAGGGCGGCGGCTGCAGCGGCGGATGAAGGATCAGATGGATTAGACAATGATGCCAATAAAGATTCATTTAAATCTTCAAGCATACTTGATGTTAATTCATCTGTTAATCAAATCACAATTAGAAAATGAGAGAGAGAGAGAAAAAAAATTAGTTAATCACAATGTAAACAATTAGTTAATTGTCGCGAGGAAACTTTTTCGTAAGTCACAATGTCACCCGAAAGAATAACAATTAAAAATGATTTTTAATTTTCCAATCAGATGAAATTAACTTCAACTAATCATCATCATCAGTTGATTCAATTGATTGATTAATTTAGTTAATCATTAGATGCAATTAATTATCAAATTGTTTGTTTTGTTGTTGTTGTTGTTATAATTTACTAATCATCTTAATATCTTGATTAACTTGATCTGTTCCTGATTGATTGTTGATTATTATTGATTAACTTTTTTTTTGTTTCATTTTTTGTTTCCCTCCCTCTGATTGTTGATTACTTTTAATTGTTGTCGTTGTAAACATTATCTATTTTAATTACAATTTAATTGGTCAAAATTGATTGTGAGTGTGTGATTATTATTAACAGTTAAATTATCAATAATTTGATTTCATTTGATTTGGTTTTTTTGTTTAATTTGCTTTTTGGTGTTTGGGTAACAAAAAATTAACAATTTACTTAATTGTTAAACTTGATTTTCCCTAAATTGTTGATTGTGAGTCTGTTGGGTAATGACAACAATTAAGATTGACAGGAAATTGTTTAATCGTTTAATTTACTAAAAAGGACATTGGTTTAAATTATATCAAACGAAAATGTTAATTGTTACAATTTAGGATAACAGTAAAAAAGACATGATTAGTTTGATTAATGATTAGTTTAAAAAAAAAATAAAAGTTAATCAACAAATGACATTGAGAGTTAATTGTTGAGATGAAGGGGAAAAAGGGGGAAATCTAATAATCCAATTAAATGATTATAATTGTAACAATGATAATCAACTAAATTGGTTAATTATAATTAACTTTATATTTATTTTCCTACTATCATTAAATTAGTTAATTGAAATTAATTAAATGGATGATTGTCAGAGAAATGTGTCATTATTAATTAAGAGTTAATTAAGTTAATTGTTATCAAGTTAATTACCCATTGGAATTGATTGAATCAATTTGTTTATCTTTTTTAAAACAGTTGATTGAGTTTAATTGTTTACTAATTGGTTAATTATAGTTGACAATTTATCTCTCTCTCTCTCTCTCTCTTTCTCTCTCAATGTATCAACGTCACGCACGCACTGGCACGTTAAAAATCACGTATTCATGTTTACCTGTTGATGAATAAAGTGACAAAGTGATGACAAAATGATGATATTTGTATTAACAGTTTTGCTTAATTAGATTCGTAATCAAGTGAATCAATTTAAAACCTTTTACTTTCAATTAAATTAAGGTAAATGATTAATAACAATGCAATTAGTTAATTGTCAACCTTGATTGCGAGTAGATTTAATTTAATTTTGTTTCTCTCTCCTAGTATATAATGTCAATCAAGGCAAATCAGCATGAGACTTATGAGTTTTTATTTTCTTAATCAAATTTAATCAATGGAAATCATCAACTAATCTATTCATTAACTTTCTTGATGATGATTAACAATATTATCATTAAAATCATTAGTTAATTGTGATCAGAATGGCAACTACTTCCGTCTATTTAATCAAAATTAAATCCCAATTGTGATCATCATGAAGAAGAAGAAAAAAAATAATAATAATCAACAATCAAAAACCTTAGGAGCTTCAATTAAGATGATGGTGATGATTAAATCTATGTCAGTGATGATGATGTGAAAGTGATTTCAAGATGGAGGATGATGATGATAATGAAGATGAGGGATGATGATGGTCAAGTGAATATTATAATCAACCAAATAACCAGAAAAAAATATGAGACCATAACAAGTGACCAGAAAATCATCCTCATCATTATCCATACAAGATGATGAGAGAGAGAGAGATGATGTATTAGTCATTTTCATCTTCATTAAAAGTGATGAAGATAATAATAAAGAGAGAGAGAGAGAAAGGCAAAAATGCAGAGCAACAAGATGATAAAGGGGGAGAAAAAGTGACAACATCACAAAACTGGACACAGGTCAGTTTGGTGAGTAAAGTTGATTCAAAGAAAATTAGATTAATAATGAATCTACTTGTATCTACATAGAAAACAGCAAATGGACATTACAAGGGATTCATCATCTTCTCATCCTCATCATCACTAACTTCACTTTTTTGTTTCTCATTAAATATAAGCTATAGTTTCCTTTTAATCATCCTCATCATCTTCATCATCATTATCATCTAACTTTTTCTTGTTCCTTTGAAAACAAAACTTACAAACTCAATATCCTGTTTCCATTAAATTGGATATAAAATACCAATAACCGATAGCGTGAAGCCCTTAATCACAATTCAACAATATTAGTTAGTTAATTAAGTTTTTTCTTCATCATGATTGGTAAGATGATGATGATGATGATTAGAAGAAAAGAAAGACAACTTGTTACACTTTCTCTTCTCTTTCTTTTCCTTTAAAATATGATGAAGACAATACGATTTGTTGTTGTTTCTTTTATTTTTTTTTCTTATTCTTCTCAATGAAATGAATGAAATAGAAAAATAATTTCAACCAACTTTTAAAGAGAAAAATTTTCGCCTTCATCATCATCGTCATCTTCCTAATCTTCATCATTGAAAGATGATAATAATGATGATAATTGTTGATAATAATTGCTAATAATAATCTATCTAATTAATTGTTATCCATTATAATGATTAGTTTTGATTGTTACTTGAGTTTTTTTCTTCTTCTACTTCTTCATGTTATTGTAACAAATAAAGAATCGTATCCAATTGTAATTAATCAATTTTAATTAAAATTGATTAGTGGAAAGATTAATTTCCTAATTATTTCAATTAAAATTAATTTAATTGACAAGAGACACACAAACAACAATTACTGAAACTTTTGCCTTATCATCATTAAGATGATCATCATAATCATAATCATCATCTCTCTGTCTCTCTCTCTCTCTCTCTCTCTCTCTCTCTCTTCCGTCATCATCTTCATCTTTATCTTGATCATCATTCATTTCATCATAATCATCAACTGAACAACAATCATTTACAATTAATCACAGTTAATAAGGAAACTAATGAATTTAAATTAATCTCCCTTTGATTGTCACTTTTTTTGTGTCAGTCCTTGGATGCAAACATATCAAATTAATACATAAACACATTCACAACAATTTATTAATCATCATCATCATCATCATGTTATCATGAACATTCAGACCTTTGGTGAAAATAATGAAACGTTTGAGTTTCATGTTATCCAAATGTGATGATCAATTTTTTTTTGTTTTTCCCGCGTTAAACCAAAGTCAAAGTTTATCTTCATCATGATGGATTCTAAATGATGATGAGTTGATTGTTGGATGGATTATGATGATTATGATTAAACAATTTCCTCAATTAACGATTTACATTCAAAAATAGCTGATCATTGAAACGATTTAATCGACATTTCAATTAGAACGAAACAAAAACGAAACGATATTATTATTATTTTTTTCGTTTCAGAACAAAAAGATAATCAGAACTTTTCTTCTTCTATTCTCAATTGGAATGAAATTCGTACGATAATCATGATAATGGTAATTGCTTATTGTTCCTTGAGTATTTAATTTAATTTTCGCCTTAATCATTATCATTATTTAACTTGATTGTTATTAACTTTTTTCTGATAATCATTTTTAATAGTTGAAGGTTTTTAACTAACTAAAAGGAAACTTTTTGTTAACTAATCTTTTCACAATCAAACAAACAATCAAGTTAATTGTAATTACATTGATCAATATTAAATCATTTCCTATCTTGTGATTATTATTATGATTTTAAATTATTTCCAACATTTTTTTTTTCAGTACTAATCAAATGACCTTAAATTGTTTCCCAATCATTAATATTTAATTGTAATTGTAATTATCAAATGCAAATCAATTGATTGGTATTAATTTTTTTTTTTACTTCATGTCTAATTGTATGTGTGATTAAAGTTGATTAAAGAAAACAATTTCTTCATACAATTTAACCCTGAACACAATTTAATCAAAAATGATTAAACATAATTAACAAAACAAATTGTAATCAAATTGGCTAAGTAGTAGAGGAATGAACAATAAAAAAAAACAAACTACACCAACAATTAAAGTTAATTGCAATTAAAATCTAATTACTTGAACATTGATTGAGGAAAATGAGAAAAATAAAAAGTAAACTGCAAGAGCCAAACAACAAGAGACACTTTTGATTAACATTGATTGTTAATTGTTGATGATTAATTTAATAACTATTAACTCCCTTTCATTAATAGATTGTGATAATAAATGAAACAATTTAATATTTAAAAATAGGAGAAAGGAAAGAAATTAAATTATGTTAATATGAATATCGAGTAATTAATTTATCTCAGCGGGAATTTAAAATTTTCTGTGCAAAGTAAAATAACAACAATTAACTTGCAGACAAATGAATTTCAATCAATGGTAATTACTAATTGTAAAGGTAACAATTGGTAAAAAGATGAAGATCAATTTTAAGCTACCTAAGGATGAAGATAAAGATGAAGATGAAGATGATGAGGATCAAGAGTAGAGAAAATAAGAAGATGAAGATGAAAAGGTGAGGGGATTTTAAGGAGAATCTTTTTTTTTGTGAAATTTGCATATCAACCATTATGATCCTTTAGGGCATTCGCACAGGTAAGTGAGAGAGAAAGAAAGAGGGAGCGATGATGATAATGATGATGAAGATGAAGGTAAGAGGATGAGAAATCTCTATGTGTGTTTTAGGGATGAAGAGAGAGAGAGAGAGAGAGAAGATGAGAAATGTTTGATATATAAAAAGCTAAACGATTGACAAAAGGTTGGAAAATTTTTTCCTTTAGAAGATGAAGAAAAAGTCTCATAATAAAAAAAGGTAAAATTCTGAGACCAGGTAACTTTAAATCCTAATCCTTGTGACGATTATAAATGGACTAAGAAAAAGGTAAATCCATTTGGTGGAGGTGAGAGATGGTCAGTCTGTTTATAATTGTTACTGTCGACAAACAATAAAAACCTTTGACCAGTACAAATACAAGAGAGTTTACTTTTCTCATTTACCTGGTCACTTCTGGTCATTACCTGTGAGAGTATTTCTCTGTATAAGTTTACTAATAATAAGTTTGAAATAACAATAATTAACACAATCAACATGAAAATTTGGTTATAAAAAAAACTGGACAATAAATGTTGATTGTAATCAATATTTGCTTGACCATTTGCAAATACTAAATATCAATCAACAACAACAACAACAACAAAGTAAACTCATTTCAAGACTGGACAATTAAAAAGTAATTTATTTCAAGTAATTGAAGTAATTTACTAATTGAATTTCATTATCGTTCAATAATTGTAAATAATTAAGAGCAGATTATTTAATTTAAAGTCTGATTGTTAAATGATTGAAATGAAATTAAAGTTAATTGTATAGTTTTGTTATTAAAAGCAATTAACTTTGAGTGTAGGGAAAGAGAGAGATGAAAAAATTTAGTTTTTTTCTTAATCATTAATTTGTTGATGCTCTTTACCTGAATTAAAATTAACTGCAAACCAATCAATCAATCAAAATCCGTATATAAGATTAACACAATTGAAAGACACAAAACAATAATAATATAACCTTGATAAGGAGAGAGAGAGAGAGTGAGTGAGGAGGGATAAAGGAGGAGGAGAGGGAGGGAGGGAGCACAGGTAAATCTTGTTAATCCAACGATTTATAAGATTGTTAATCTGTTGATTTGGGTTTGATTATCATTCTTGATTAGTGTGATTATTTTTACACCTTTTTTTTTGGTATATTGTTTGAGATTCAAGGTAAGGTTAAGGGTGAGAAATGTTAACAACTTTTTTTTTACTTCAACTGAAGAGGGAGTGGTAATGATAATGAAGATGAGGATGAGGATGGAGATGAGGATGATGATAATGATTGGGATTAGTTGACATCTTTTTAAACTATTATATTGTATTGTTATTTGGGGTAAATCAAATAATCAACATGAAAAAAAAACCTAAATCATTGTAAATATGTAAAAATGTAACATAAGGTAAAAATGGTAATAATAATTGATTGAGTTTCTCTCTCTCTCTCTCGCTTTTGGCTCCCTCGTTTTATTGTAAATGAATTGTATTATTTTGGATATGGACAACAAACGACCCCAAATGATGAGGATGAAAAGATGATGATGAGAAATAAATTAACAACACAAAAGATACAGAGAGGAAGCGATGATGATAAAGATAATAATTGTTATTTGTTTGATCCAATCAACCTTTAATAATCATCAGAGGAAGAGAGAGAGAGAGAGATGATGATGATGATGATGATGATGATGGAGATGGAGATGAAGATGAGGATGCTTAGGATGGAAAGAGAGAGAAAATAATTAGGGGAAAAGAGAGTGTGAAAAAACATCGAATTTGGATTTTGCTTTGGATTAGAACTTTTTCTTCTCTTTGATGATAAGATGCTGAACTCGCTACTCACTATCATCCTTATCTTCATCAATGTTTATCTACCTATCACCATGATCAATGAAGCAAGGGTGGAAAAGTTAATCAATATCATGATGAGAATAAAAAATTTTTCTTCTCTTGTTGATGATGAAAATTCATCATCAAATTCAGGATCATGATGATAATTAGCATTCTCTTTCGCTATAATAATCGAAGCAGATGAAAAATCTCATTTCTTTTGTCAGGTTTCATGCTGATCATCATCATCATCATGACAAGAGAGAGAGAGATAGAGAGAGAGAGAGAGAGAGAGAGAGAGAGAGAGAGAGCGAGAAAGATAAAAGAAACTCTGTTCATATCTCTCATTGGGAATAAGATGAAAAATTTTATCTTGTCCAGTTGAGTTGAAGTAAATCAATGGACAACAAACTGATCATCATTCTCATCTTCCTGATCATCATCATCATCATCTATGAGTAAAAACAATTTCGATTAAGAATCAATCAAAATAAAAACTTTTTTTTGTTTCCATCATCAACTAATATTAATTTAATATCGAAGTAGCAAAAAAAAGTTCTAATCATCATCCTGGTCATCTTTTCATCTTCGGTCATCAATTGTATCATCTCTCTCCCTCTCTCTCTCTCTCAAGGTAATATAATGAAGATAAACCTAATCAATCTGATGATACCTTTAATTGCTGAATCAAATTGATCAAAATTAACATTCTTTATGATATTAGTATAAGATAATTACATTTAATCATCTCTCCTCAATTCAATTCTTAAACATGTTTTCATCTTGATTGTTGGTTTGTAATTAAAAAGTAGTTAGTTGATAATCAAAAATGATTGAGATGATGAAGATGAAGATGAGGATGATGATGATAAACAAAAAACTCTGGACCTAACAATTTAACTAAGAAAAGTTAATTGTAAGTGAGTAAGAAAATCACACAAATCTAAAAATCTTTGCACTTTGATTAACTTGAAATATCAGAAAACAAAATTAACTAAACATAATAATCAAATGTAAACACGTTAATTAAATTTCAATGTAATCAAATTAAAATTGATGATTAATATTAACTAATCAAGAATCTTGTTTGTGAGAGAGATCAACAATTTACTCTTTAAGCAAAAAAAAAATGATGTAAATTGAAATAAGTGATTAATTTAAATTTTCGCAATCAATGAAAAAAAAAGTTAATTGTGACTGAGAAAAAAAATTGATTGAGTTGGAAAAATGAGTTTACCTGTTGATCCTGGTCCAGGAGTAGGTGGACCTCCGCCAGGGGTTGAAGATGATGGTTGACCGGAAGCCGATTGACCAGCAGAAACTGTGTTAGAACCACCGGTTGACCCATTGCCTCCTCCGGCACCGGCGGGTAAACCGAATAACATTGAACGGGTTGAAGCGGCTGCTTGAAGTACGGCGGCAAGAGCTTGTTGAGATTGTTGCATTAATCCTTCAGCTTGGGAGCCATTTCTTTCCAGTTCTCTGACATTATTTGCATGTTTATCGGATTGAGTGTGAATTGAAAGGTTACCCTTGGTGGTTGTTGAATAGTTACAAATTTCACATCGATAAGGTTTATAGCCGCAATTGTAGGTTTCACCTCGAGCCAATCGCGGGTGTTTCTGTCCGGTTAAACAGAAAACGCAGGACATTTCGTTTTCCGGGTGTTTCTCTTTCATATGGATGGCCAGTGTTTCTTGATATTTATAATGCCAGTTACACTTTGGACATTTTAATGTTTTACACGAGTTACGGGAATGCATCATGGTCATATGACCACCTAGAGATCGTGATGAGCCAAGGACAATGTCACATTTAGGACATTCAACACCTTCAGGATGATGGGAACATGGATTATAATTTGTTGGTGTTGTTGACACTAAAGATCCAGTTCCAGTTCCAGAAGCTTGACCAACATTTGAACTCTGTTGTTGTTGTTGTTGTTGTTGAGCTGCTGCAGCGGCAAGAGCAGCGGCTACTGCAGCGGCGACATTTGCTGAGTTCATTGAGGAAAGTGTTGAAGGTGAAAGTGGAACTGAAATACCAGAAGCACCACCACCAGTACCACTTGTAACACCGCCAATTGTGGTACCTGTTGGTGTTAATCCGATTGGAGGTGAGGAAGCTGGTGATGAGTTTTGTTGTTTCATGGCTAAAGTTGATACCGGTGAGATTGACGATGAGGGCGGTGAACAAAGCACCGGATTAACAATGGTTGTTGACATTGTTGTACCCAAGCTGGTCATTGGTGTTGTTACCAAAGATAAAGCTAAAGATGGAGATGAGGAAGATGATGGCGATGATGAGGAAGATGACGATGGAGATGATAGCTCATTTGATCGTTGTGAAGCGGCTACCGCTGCTTTAGCAATCTTTTCAAGATTAGCAAGTTCAGCGAGCTCAGGGGTTAATGAATTAACATTTAAATCCATTGCATTAATATCACTACTAATTCCTAGACGATTATTATTTGAATTAGAAATTGAATTTGAATTTGAATTATTATTATTATTACTCTTAATCTCACTATTATCTCCATCTTCATCTTTATTTTGAGTTTTCTTCTTGCTCTTATTATTATTGTTATTATTACCAATTGAATTATTAGTCATCTTTGATTTACTATTTGAAGGATTAGGATTAAGATTAAGATTATTATTGGTGTTAATTAGATTATGATTCTTTGGTAAAACTAAATTCAATGTTTCGCACATTGGTGATTCAGTTAATATCGGTGAGTTAATATTTGGTGATTGACTACTTGAGGTGGTGGTTGTGGAGGTTGAGATGGTTGAGATTGATGCAAGGCTAGAAGGGGACATAAAAATTGGCTGCGACGGCGGCGGCTGTTCAAGTGACGGCGATGATGATGAAGATAAATCCATAGTTGGATTGTTATTATTATTATTATTGTTTTTATTGATTGTTGAGGAACTTGTTGTTGTTGTTGTTGTTAATTTTGTTGATGAGCTTAATTGCTGATGAGACCTTGTAATGGAATCACCAATTGTTTCATTTGATGTGGCGGTGGAAGATGATGATGACAATGATGACAAAAGTTTCTCTGGAACATTTAAATTAGTAGTAGTAATTGATTGGCTTAAAGGATGATGATGAGGTCCATTTAAAGGTGAGGCACCATTGACAGAGGAACTTGTTGTTGTTGTTATTGTTGAAGATGAGGTTGACTGTTGTTGTTGTTGTTGAGATGTTGAAGGTGATGATGATGAAATCGATGATGATGTTGATGCATCAATGTTTGAGGTGGGTGGTTGTTGTTGTTGTTGTTGTTGTGATGGTGATGAGGGTTGTGAGGTGGTGGTTGTTGTCGCAGGAACTTCCGATCTTGGTTCTAAAAAGGATAAAAGTGGCTCCTTGTCTTGACCCACTCCTTGAATTATTGCAGAACTATTTTTAGCGGCTAGAAGAGCCGATTCTTCATCATTTGGTATTATTTTATGCTCGGCGGATGCATGAGCGGTAAATGATTTAACATAAACAAATGATAGTTTACATATAAAGCACATGAGTATTGGTTTAACGGGCACTGTTGGTGTCACCTTGTTGTTATTATTTGTTGTTGTTGTTGTTGATGGTGACAAATTTTTCCTAAACTTATTATTATTGTGACATTTTCGTGAACCAATTGTCGCCATCGGCTTGTGTTTAGGATAACGTCGAGATCGAGTTCTTTTGTTATTATTATTATTATTATTGTTATTGGTGGAATTACGTTTATGATTACTGGTTGATATTAAATCATTACCATCGCAATTACCATCTTCATCCTCTTCGAGTTGACCACCTTCAATATTATCGATATCGCCTTCATTATCATCTTCTTCGTCTTCTTCTTCACCGGCGGTTAAATTGTCATCACCATTTTCGTCCTCAGTGTTTTCATCTTCTCCATCTTCTTGCTGATCAATTTCATCTTCACTGTTTATTATCGTATCGAAATTGTTACCCAATAGATCAGAATCAGCGGTTATACATGATTTAATATCTTCTAATGGTGGAAGTTTAAAAGCATCTTCATCTTTTTCACCACTTTGACTATCTCTCAATATCTTCTTATATTTATCCGATAATGTGAACACCCTGTAACTGTGCATAATAGGAACTTGAAGGAACTTTTTGTTTACTTGGAAAAGAAAAAAATTTTCTCGCTTCGAACTTAAGTTTTGTTTAACTTTCTTTCTATGGAATTAGAACTTTTTTTTTTGCGTTATTATTCAAACAAATCACATATTCGATGAGATTGATGATTAAAAAGGATCAATTAAGTTTCCATGATGATGATGATGAGTTTGTGATTGTTGTTGTTGTTGTTGTTGATGAGAAAACAAATTAATAATAATTAAATCCCATGAGATGATTAAATCCAATTAAAAGATGACATTAGTTAACAATAGGCAATCATGATTGTTGATGATTGATTCCCAATTGGATTAATCAAGAGAAGAAAAAAATTATAAATGATTAACAGTTAATCAAGTTTAACAAGAGCATAACAATCAGAGAGGGGAAATTAATAATCAAAATTAATCACAATTAAATCCCATTGGTAGTTAGTTGATTAAATTTTTCATAATCATCAATATCCACACAAGAACACATATAAACACAAATATAAGATGAAGATTGAGGAAGAAAAAAAAAATTTTGTTAACCATAAATGTTGATGACGTTGATTAAGATTTTGTTGATTGTGTTAATCATATTGATGAACAATTAAGAGTTGATGTTGATCAATTAACACAGAGAGACAGTTAAAGTTGATTGTTGGTTAATTGTTGATGATCATAATTGGAGGAGCACAAGAGAGAGAGAGAGAGAGAGAGAGAAAGATATTGGAAAAAAAAGAGAAGAGAAAAAAAAAGTTTTCAATTAGTTACAAATGAATTAAGATTATCATTGGAAAGAGAGATAGAAAGAGAAAAGAGTAATTTGTTAATCCAGTTTATGGTTTAGATTATAGAGATTTAATCACTCGGAGGAGAGATATTGATTAGCTAAATTAGTTGATTAAGTTTTTGATTCTTTGGCACAATCAACGTTTTTTTTTGTTTCTCTTTCAAAGATCTTACATTTTGGTTGTTGTTGTTGTCGTTGTTTGGTGTGACCTTTTTAAGGCAAAGATCAAGGCAAGAGACACATTCACAAGGCATAAGGATAGAGATGAAGATGAGGATGATAAGGATGAGAAATGAGATGGAGATTAGGATGATTTTTACTTATTCTAACTTACTCTTCGTGTTTATTATTATTGTAAATATATTATTGGGATGAAGAGAAAGAGAGAGAGAGAGAGAGAGTGGGTTTTAGTGACTCGATTGACGTTCAATGTAAAACTGAGGAGCAACTTTTCAAGGGAGACAAAAGAGAGAGTCCAGTGAGCATAGGAAGATGATGATAAATTAGGGAGTCGTAAAACAAGTCTGTCCAAGAAAGAGAAGAAGATGAGAGAAAGAGAGAGAGAGAGCTAGGGGCTGGATAAGTAGAAGGGGAAAATAATCTTCATCATCTTAAAGAAAGAAAAAGATGAAGAAGAAGAAGAAGAAAAAAAAATGGAGAGAAGAGAGAGAGAGAGAGAGAGAGAGAGAGAGAGAGAGAGAGAAAGTAAGATGAAAAAAAGTGAGATGCAGATTAGTGAGAGAGAATCACATTAGTTTACTATATGAGGTTAACCCTCAGCTCTTTCTCTCTCCCTCTCTCATCATCATCATCTCTTTCTTTTTGTCTTTTATCTTCCTCTTTCTTTCCTTTCTTTTCTAAACAACAAAACTTATATTTTTTTCAATTGAAACTCAAATCTTACCAATAACAACATTAGAACACAACCTTTTATGTTTTTTGGGTAAGAAAATTTTTCTTTTTTTTCTCTTTCTTTTCTCTCTCTTTCTCTTTCTTTCTTGCCAATGACCTGCCTCATGTCATCTTTGGTCTCTCTCTCTCTCTCCTTCTTTCTTTCTCTCTGTCTATGTTTGTGTGTCTATTATTTATCATCATCATAATCATCATCATCTTCTGGCCTCCCCTTTCAAGAAATAAAAGGTAAACCATCAAGACAAAGGTTAGACTTAAATTCACAGCAAATACCTTGACAGATGTCTCTTTCTTTTCTCTTTCTTTTCTCATCTTCCTCATCATCATCATCATCATCTCTATGGTCTTTTCTTAATCAACAAGATGAGGATGAAGATGATATTCTTTCAATTTAAGTCTTGAGAAAACTATAGGTAACTTATATTAGTTTATTTTCTATTCTAATGTATTTTTATTTTCTTTTGTCAATTCTTACCTTCGATCATCATAATCATCATCAATGTCTTTAAGAGAGAGAGAGAGAGAGAGAGAGAGAAATTGCAATATGGGATGATGATGACTAGGAAGACAAAGAGAAAGAGGAAGAAAAAGATGAGAAATTGATTATTATTGATTTTAAATGTTTTCTTTTCATTTTTTGATTATTACAAATAGAAATTGATTTCGGATTAAGATTAAGAAAATGCTGTTTTCTCTGATGATACCAGATGACTATCATCATCATCATCATCATCGTCTTATCCTACTAATGTAAACAAATAACAAAAGATGAGGATGAGGAAGATAAACAAACAGAATGATTCAAAGTCAAGTTCATCATCACAGGTAACATGATGTAATAGATTGATCTTCATGAAGATCAAACCATTAAGAAGGTTGGGTTTTCGTTTAGAGAGAAGAAGAAGAAGAAGAATATCCTTTTCCTTATCATCATCATGTCAATCATCATCCTTTCATCTTCGTTCGAATAAAATTTGATTAAGATGAAAAGAGACAAAAAATTATCCTCATCCTTTTTTTCATCTTCTTCTCATTATCAAAGATGCTTTTCCATTGCAAAGCCTCAAAGTTAAATGTTTTAATTTGCATCTTTAATCATCATCTTCATCTTCATTATTTATTCAAGATGAAGGAGCAAAGACTCATCAAGGTTTTTTTTCTCATCTTCATGATGATGATAATGAAATTTACTCTCATCTGATCCTGCGCTCGAAATGCTATCCAATCAGTATTAATTTTCTGAACAACTGAAAATCGTAGGTAATGAAAATTAAGAAGATGAAGATGCGAAAAGAAAGAGAAACACTGAAACCGTTTTCTCTTTCATATGTAAACTCATCACTCTCTCTCTCTCTCTCACCATTAAACTCCCACCGCCTCCACCTCCACCTTATCCTCCGCCTTCTTAACCATTCTAACCTATTATTACCTTTAGTTTCATCTCTCTCTCTCTCTCTCTCTCTCATCGGATGCTGATGATAATTTTATCTTCTCTTTCTTTTCATCTTCATTTAATCACACATACAGAATTTATTTACTTTTCTCTTTCTATTTCTTCCTCTTCTTCCTTAATTATCATCATTCTCATCATTTGGATGATTAGAAGAAGAAAAAGAAAAAACTAATCAATGATTGACATATTTTCTATTCCATGATTATTATTATCAGAGGAGAAATTATTATTTTCTTCCAAGTGAGAATGAGGGAGGGACACACACACCATATTATCTTCCTTAATCTTCCACCCTCTTTCTTTTTTTCTCTTTCTTTTACTATTATAATTATCATCCAGGTATCTTAATAAGTTTCATCATCATTATCTTCCTCCTCTCATCATCATCAATGGGCAACAACTTAGATTGAAAAACTTTTCACTTTTTTTTTACTTTACTTGTTTTTCAAAGGTTGAGATGAAGAGGATGAAAACAAAATGGCCGCCAATTTGATTCTGATTGAAATTTAATTACACTGAGCTATTTTTTGTTACCATTACCATTTAAGTGTAATTATAATTTGATGATGATGATGATGAAAATGAAGATGAAATTATTACCCTGCCCTTTGAAAGTCACGAATTAAAATTAGTCAAATGAGAGATGAAAAATTAGAATAGAAAATCATCCCAAAGAAATTCTGGTTTTGGTGGAACATGATGAGATCACACTCATCAGGGGATAGATTCTATTCATCATCATGATATCCAGAATTCTGTTGATTTAATTTAATAGACTTTTGCAGAATTTTAGAAAATAATATTGAACCAAATTGAATCGAAAATCTAAAATTGGAATCAATTGACTTTTCCATCGTTCACCTTGCAAATCACAACAATTAATAGTATTCATTGTTTATCTTCATCTTCATGAGATAAACAAACTTTCACTCTCTCATTAACATGATGATTCTGATTGTGTCTATTGATCTCAATTCACATTCAAGGGAAAAATTTCCAATGAAAAATAATGAGTTTTTTTTGTCTGTTTGATGTTACATTTATTGTCATCATCATTATCAATTAATGACGATGATGATGATGATGATGATAGAAAAGGGGAAAAAAGTAAAGGTAACATCATGGAGAGGAGGAGTTAATATGGTGAAATTGAAGGGGAAATGGGGGAAAATTAGTGGGAGGTCTTTTATTTACACTTTCATTCAATTAATTTAATCAAGGCCACACCTTTTCAAGTCAATGTCTTTACTATTATTTTCAATGATAATCAGTTTTTTAGCTTTAAATTGAACCTCCTACTGATCTTATTGTCTCCTCCCACTCCCACTCTTCATCATCTCATTTCAAATTTTTCCCCCTCTTCCTCATCACTATCGTCAACTCTTTCCCCAACTCACTGGTTTACCTTCCCCTTCTCTTCCTGTTCCTTTGAGCATTTTATCCTCGCCATCTTCATCATTATCATCATTATCATTATTATTTCTCTTATTATCATCACTGAAACTTCAGTTATATCAAACTTTATTTTTTTTTTCTTCGAAAGAAAATTTTTCAATTATTTTTTTTTCTATTCTATTTTTTTAATGCTTTGCTTACTTCTCATCATCATCAGTATCATTATACCTTCACAACCACCGCTACCTCATCTCTCTCTCTCTCTCTCTCTCTCACTCATTTTCACTCATCAATGAACTTTCGTTGCTATGGGTTACCATGATTAACTTTTATCTTCCTCTAATAGCATCAAACGAGTTAAAATAATCATCTTTTAACGCTCTCGCTTTTTTCTCTCTCCAGAGCCTTTGTTTTTTTTCCTTTCATCGTTTTCATGATTATCTTCATCATTATCATCATTTGATTCAGTTGGAACTTTTCCTACTCATAATGTGCACATGTAATTACACAAATTGGTTAGATCTTATTTTCACCATT